CTCAATGCAATGGGTTTATGTGGAGAAAAGTGCTTTGAAAAGTATAAATTTTCTTAATGTTCTTAAACTTCAGCAATCTGGAACCCTCAAAGAAAAGTCATTCTGTAATAGTTTTATGGATTCCTAGGGATATAGCTGTTTATACCAATAAACTATTTTTAACTACGTGGATTGAAATAATTCTACCTCCTTCCAATTTAGCTAAAGGCTTAAAGATGTAGAGAGCAACATCTAGAATGCATGCATTGCTTCCTTTATCTTATTGTCCATCCATCTTTCTCAGGAACTGATGAACTGGACTTTGCAAGCAAACATGAAAGGATTCCTCCCAGGCCACCTTACCACAAGACGCACGAAAAACATCTTTTCTAGAGCTTCCTAGCTCTTGAGTTTTGGCCTATACCTACTGAGGGAGGATTTAGTGTCACTAAGAACTCTGACTATGGTCTGTCCTTTACTACCCTTGTAGTCAGGTTCCACTTCTAAATACTCTCAAGGTGCCTACTCTAGATTCTCACTCTCTGTATAATTTGCTATTTTTAATCTGCTATGGATTTGAAAACTAGAAAACGGATACAGAATTATATTTTAGGATTGCCTGTCAGGATCACCCGGGCATTCTTGTTACTGTTAATGTACACATTTCTAAGCCATGCCCCCAAAGATTCTGAGATGAACTCGTGTGTTCATCCTCCCCATGTTATCGCAACACAAAGTGGGAGATGAGAACTACTGTTACAAACTTAAGAGGTTCTCCCATGATGGAACCATATACACTCTAATACTTGCTTCCTATTTCCTAGGTATGTTAGATATATAATTAAGGGGTATCGTCCTCAGAAATCTGAGGGACTATCTGAGGGAAGAAAGGAACAGTTTACAGAGGGCATTAACTATGGCACCAGCATAGATTGACTCCACAGCAGGAGTAAGGAATCCATATATTGCAGGAACCAAGCATACTTCTTCAACTACAAATAAAGACATAACAGAGTAACAAAAATAAAGTTTCCAAATGCAGGACACTGTTGGCATTCATAATAAAAGGCATGAAGACTCACCTGATTTGATTCAATAGGCAAAAAAAGAGGCATTGTACTTTTTTAAGCAAAAGAATGACAACACTTCCATAGCTGCATGCAATATGTAATAAGCTCAAGATCTAAATGAGAATGACCAATAACAAAAACGGTGTGATTTTGCAAAGATAAAATAATAAAAACAGAATGTAGTGGTGAGTTACAGAAACAAAAGCTAGATAAAAAATTTTAAATTGACAATAACAACTTATCAATAATACCTTACAAATACCTCCCCCGACAAGATGAGGGTGAGAAATTTTCCACAACAGTTTGCATATGGTAGGATAACGGACATCTTTAAAGGCAAAGCCAGAGTAACATAAAAATTATTTCCCTCCCTCCAGCTGAAATCCAAATAATTAAACCAAATTAAACATAATCATAAAATGTCAAAATTAAAATGTACATATATTCAGGACATGATTTGCTACCTGAAACAGTCACAGTCGACCCTGGGTCAATAATTCCACTGTTGGGCCTCACACAGTACCGGCGAGGTGCTGTAGTCTTCACTTTGAAACACACTTTTCTATCAGATGGATTTCGCAATTTAAGATTTGTAGTGACTACATCTGTAAAGGGGCCTGTAAGGTTCAAACATTAAAGAGGAAAAAAAATTTAATTGAATTCAAAACAAAACAAAAAAAGAATTCAAAATTGAATGTATACAATCTCTATTATATTTATGTGTTGACGTCTGTATGCACAAATACACCAAGTGGCTAACAGTGCCTTTCTCCAGGTGGTAGACTTACATGTAAGTAGTATTTTCTCCTTCATTCCTTACCATGTTTCACAAAATTTCTACTGTAAATATACATTAGTTCTATTAAAAAAAAGCCTTTTGAAAGTTTCAAACTATGAAATACATCTACAATTGTATTCTTACAGTATGTTCTTACCACATTACTGAAAATATCAGAATTTTCCAGTGGTCTGCAAACCAGTGCCAAGTTCATTTTACTAGGCCAACTGAAGATACTACATCTGAAGATCTAGTATCTACATCTGAAGATATTACACCCTATGAAAACAGAGTTCCTGCTTCATCTTAATTAGGTTTAATCAATCATTCAATCA